TTTCCATCGTTTATATCTTGGGAGGAACTGGCGCGTAGACGCAGTCTCCCCCTTGCGGCGTAGGCTGGAGCACCGCTGTGTCGATGCCGTTAGACTCGAACACTCCGAGCACGGTTGTCTGTTTAGAAAAAACAGGTTATACATCATGAAAAAGTTCTACGGGTTTATGAACAATGGGGTCAAAATCGGTTATTTTTAGTTTATTTTAGAAAAAAACAGAAAAACTAGAAAAAAACAGGCTATACATCGTGAAAAACTTTTAAGCGTTTATGAACAATCGGTTATTTTTATTTTATTTTAGAAAAAAACGAAAAAGTAAGAAGAATCAGCTTATACATCGTGAAAAAGTTCTACGTGTTTGTGAACAATGAGGTCCTAAGCGGTTATTTTTATTTTATTTTAAAACAATCAGCTTATACATCGTGAAAAAGTTCTACGTGTTTATGAACAATGGGGTCATAATCGTTTTTTTTTTATTTTCTAATAGAAAAAAACGAAAAACTAGAAAAAACAGGTTATACATCATAAAAAAAATTCTACGTGGTTATAACATTGGGGTCCTAAGCGGTCATTTTTATTTTATTTTAGAAAAACGAAAAACTAGAAAAAAATAGGTTATACGTCCTGAAAAAGTTTTACGTGGTTATGAACAATGGGGTCCTAAGCGGTTATTTTTATTTTATTTTCGAAAAAAAACGAAAAACTAGAACAAAATGGGTTATACATCGTGAAAAGTTCTACGTGGTCATAACAATGGGGTTCTATGCGGTTATTTTTATTTTATTTTAGGAAAAAACGAAAAACTAGAAAAAATAGGTTATACATCGTGAAAAAGTTCTACGTGTTTATGAACAATGGGGTTCTAATCGGTTATTTTTATTTTATTTTAGAAAAAATAGAAAAACCAGAAAAAAACATCTTATACATCATGAAAAAGTTCTACGTATTTATAAACAATGGGGTCCTAATTGGTTATTTATATTTTATTTTAGAAAAAAACAGAAAACTAGAAAAAAACAGCTTATACATCATGAAAAACTTCTACTTGCTTATGAACAATGGGGTCCTAAGCCGTTATTTTTATTTTATTCTAGCGAATTTGCGAAATATGAGTAATTCTTCTTACATCATGAAAAGTTCTATGTGTTTATGAACAATAGGGTCATAATCGGTAATTTATTTTATGTTACGTCACGAGTCGAATTCTTAAATTCGTACTGGATTTTTGGAAACGTAATTGTTTTGGAACTATAATATTATACCATTTATTAGTATTTTTCACGCGTAACATGACGTTTTAATTAACTTATCACTATGCCTAAATACACGTGTACTTACGAGCGTGTCAGCGTCGAGCTCCTGCGTGCGTGACAGCACCCACGCGAACTGTTCTCTGTAGTCCCCAACCTGTGGCATACATTTAATTATATGTATAATAATAATTAATGTATACTAATAATTAATTACCCTATTACTGCATCTTTCATCAGAAAGCTTGAGAAATTAAACTCAAAAGAAGTTCTCAATAAAAAGGGCAGTATTTTTAACCAAACGTAATAATTAAATGCAAACAATCTGATATTATATATGCGCATATAATGGTAGAAATTAGGCAAGCAAACGATCTAATTTATGCCCACTTAATGATGCTAAAATAAATGCGATCTTATAAATAGTAAGGGAAATGTTACATGTGCTAACTTGAGTAAAATTAAACCACTTAACCAAAGTATTGTAACTAATTATTATGATAACTAACGGCTCATACGCAACTTTAATTTAAGGTGATCGTAAGATGATCCCCGTAGATCAAGTAAGTTGTCGTAATATGATTTTCGATGGTGTAAGATGATGTACCGTGAGTTACGATTAGCTTACGCATTCTACTATTCCAACTACTCTCATTAATTGACATGCTCAGCTTGAGACCAGAAATATGTGAGCCGTCCAGTTTACGGTGAAAGTTTAACTTACGATGATGGGAAGTGTGCTGAGCATCAAGTTTCGGATTCGAATAGGTTGTCAAGACCTCAGTTTCATCATGCAAAATTCACGGTGTTAACCTTCTTCCGCCGTATGTCACTCTCCGGAAACATACAGTGGGGGGAAATAAATATTCGTACACTTGAAAAATCGTATTTTAATGTATGTAAGTACACAAACTTAACAGGAAAAGTGATTTAAATTATGTATAGAGATGCATAGTATTCAAAAATACTATCAAAAGAAATTAAATCTCAATGCAACAAAAAACAATGCAACATGTTCACTTTTCGGGTGAAAAAAGTATTCGTACAAAACAATAAAT